CCACCCACAGAATTGGTGTTTGTATACATGATTACTGACCATTTGAACAACAGATATTTATTTGATAAAATAGAATTGCTTGTTCTACAACTCACTGTTGTAGTTCTAATTCTTTTTAAAGTTATTTTATTATTGGAAAAGCCAAAGTATAATCTATTTTAGCTGTTTTTTAAAAGTGTGCATTTTCTGCAAAGATTAAAATGAAGGAACTCTAAACTGTTGAAAAGTCTGTGAGGATTTGAGAATCATTTTCATAGAGACATGACTTTGATCAAGAAAAGCCCAGCTACATCAGGTGGATTTTTAGGAAATGGTTTCTAATGTGCACCATAAATATTGTATGCAAGAGAATCACAAGGAGGACAATAGTTGTGACCATGAGCAAAATGAAAAATGAGATCGGCTTTGTAGATGATGCGAAGGGTAAGCGCTGGGAGGAAATGAAACCTCAAATGCTGCTGATGGTGGATGGATGGGCGAGGGTCACACAAACCTTGACTGCTTCAGTTAGAAGTATTGTGGCTTTAGACACATTACTCTGCTGGCAATATAGCGAAGGCAGATAAAGCAACAGTGTTTTGGGGACAGACGGCAGCTTTTATCCCTGGAAAAATGTTGCACTAACCCTCCTGTAATCTGTTTCGAAATTAAGACCCAAGTGCTGCTGTAGCAAGACTAAACAGAGAATTTTTGGGGAGAAATTAAGACAAATGCCTCTGTAGACATCAAAATCAGTGTCTGTGGAAGAACTTGCTGCAGAGGCTCTGTCTGATGGTTCTTACGGATTCTCCTGTGGCTTTTCGAAGGGTGCCTGATCTTAGATTCTTGTTGCCATGCTGCAGATGTTAACTAAAGTACCTGTCTGTACCTCTCAGCCTTGAAATACAGCATGCTCTGTTAAAAGAGAAGCTGTTACTTTTTTTAGATATCTGTTTATATGTTAGCTGCTATGTTATATAGAGTTTCTTTTAATTAAAATGTTTATCTTTCACATCTAGAGGTGTGAACAGGACAATAGATGAAAAACATGGATGAAAAGTAGTGTCTCCTGTATTGCAAAACTGTTGGAATGAGAAATGTCTGAGTAGGAACTAACAGCATTTCTTCTGATGTCTAAATTATTTTTCTCTCGGACAAACAATAAAATAGTTTCATTTGTAATGATGCTCCGCTGTCTGGATTGCTCTTTGCTTACCAGATTCTCTTTCTCTTTTTATCTGTACAAAATGCTTCCTGGATGCTCATTGTGATACAGCAACAGAGAGCTATGCAAATGAACATTTTACAACGAGTGAAATATTTTTTTTATGCATGAATGAACTTCCCCCCTTCAGATTTTCCTTATGACTACCGTATACACTAAGAAAGATGTACACTGCATACACATTTTGTATTTCAAAGCTTTTTGCGTGGGTAATTTGCTAGGGTCGAACCTTTGTGAAGTTAACTTTGGTAACAATATAGCATTTTGTATTTTGAAAGCTATTACAATATGTGTTGATTGAAACTCTCCCTTCAACGCCTGCTGTTTATACTGGCTCTTTGATTCTTTGCTTTGATACCACTCTCGAAACCCTGGGAAAGACCTGGGTCAGATTTCAGTAAAAATGTATAATACCATGCTGGAAACGAATACGTCTGGCGCTGCAGATGAACTGAGCAGTCACTGAGCAGAAGCTTTTGAACCCAAGACAGTTACGTTTGCTTTGGGCATAGGACTGATCTTATGGAATTTTAAATGTGCAGTCTGGAACCCAGTGCACACAGCTTTACAGAGGGTTGGCAGGTACGGAAATATAAGATCTTGTGGCCTTTGAAGAGTTCAACTATCTTGCGTTTCACAGTGTCAAAAGAACGTGAGCTCATTGATCCGGTTTCTACTGCTTAAAAACTATTTTACAACTTTGTTTATGCTTTGTCTCCGTTGTCCACCTATACTTGTTTAGAAATAGAACAAGGTCAGAAATTTAAATATTAAATTATATACCATATACTTAACTATATTGATCTATATTAAGTGCTAAACATACATTTTATGTTATTGCATATTTTTCATATATTTCTTTTGCAAGATTTAAGAGGTTTGTTCTATCAAGAAGCTAAAAGTCTCCGGATGTGTCCACATGAGCATTTTAGTGAGATGGGGATCCCACTGCGGAAGCAGTCGCCCCCACTTGCTGGGCTGCAGTTCGTGTTGCGGAGCAAACTCAGAGTGCAAGAACGGGACTGCTTTAGGAAAAGGCATTGCGGGGCTTACCTTTAAATAAACCGTTGCTATGGTCTTGCTCCTACTGAATGTTCACTCCTTGGGGCTATACTGGAGCGAATGGGGCAATGGCACCCCTTGAAGCAGGTATGGGCTTCAGCACCAGCTGTTGGGGCTATTTGCTAATGCAGACCTAGCGAGGTCCCGTGAGGACTACGGGTTTCCATCTCCATGTGGAGAAAACCCCCAGTGCTTCACGATGAGGCTCAGGATCTTCTCTGGTGCCATCACATGTGTTATCTCACATACTGTTATTCGTGCGATTTCACACGACATCGAGTTGTGGGATTACGGAGCACCTGCACGTTGGCAGGTTGTTACTGTCACGAACAAATGCTAACCTTGAACTTACCGGCACAACCTCACAGCAGGCTTAAGTTACAGCTAGCTGTCCACGTGCTTTAAGCTGCAGAAAAAAAATCTGAGTAAAAATCCTTTTCTCTGAGTTTACACCGGCACTGGGCAAGCTGCAGTCTCTAGAGATATCTTCAGCTTTCTCACAGCAATAGGGAAAGGGATTTTTGGCTGACAATTTAGATCAAATTACTTTATGTCCTCCACTTTAGCTGTTTGTTCTCTAGAAGCAGAATTATTCAAGAGCAAAAAGGTTAATACTTAGGTAGCTAAATACCTGATCTTGCAGATACAGCAGGTAATTAAACACTGGGCTTCCTGTTGTCTAGGGTGAGCAGGCAAACACCAGCCTGCCTGTGGGTGTACAGAAATTTCCTATGAACCATTAACTACAGAACAAGAGTCATCCATATATCCACAAATACAAATAAATATTTTTTTTAAAAGTAATAATCCTTCTCAATATTTCAAAACAACTAGTATGTAACCCATGTAGAGCTGAGAATTTGGAAAAATCTCCCAATGGGTGTTCTCACAAACTAAAATTAAGCATTAAAGATACTTGCTTCTCAGGGGAGATCCTGGCTGAAGGTGCACCCAGTGCCTTCAAACAAGTACGGGAACACTGAAATGTTGATACAGAAGACAAAACTGTACTCTCTGCCTCTGTGGTATGGTGATGCCTGGTCAATGCCTATTAATTTTCTGTATGATTCCTTTTATTTTTAATTCAAGAGAAGATGAGAAGGGGAGCAATGAGTTCTCATGCTGCTTTTAAGCCACTATCACAGTTCACTGCATCACTACTGAGATTTTTTGGACATCCAAGATTTGTTGGCACTAGATGACAGATAATTTGCAGAAATGGTAGGAGAGGAGATACCCTCCTGTCATGTTTAGAAGAAAACATACAGCCTGTGGATAGGACAGTGCATCTGTCATTATGTGGTGCTTCCCGAACAGTGGGATGGGAGATTAAATGAAGGTGATGTGGGAAGTTGAGACCTGTCACGTGGGAGTGCTTATGGCCTTGGTTTATTGTTATAGTCAGTTAGGATTATGATTATTATCAGTATTGTTACAAAAGTACAAATCTTAGCATGGACCTAGACCAATCTGGCTAATTGCCCTCCCCACAGGGGTAGGGTGTGTAGGGTACCATCCCACTGAAACAGTTGTGTCTGCAAGTGGGCACCTCTACTATTTTAACTGTTTACTTTGATGACTTTTTCCATCCTAGAGATGAGGAAAAAGCGAGGTGTAGTGTAGGCTGTAACAATCTGCTTTAGCTTCTCCAGCTGTGTTTTACTCAGTGCTGGTTTACTTGAGCCTGTATATGCACTGAGCTCTTCTTTTAGGTTTTATATTGTTCTTCAAAGAACTGGCTTTAAAGATTAATTAGGGCAGGGGGGGAGTGAGAGTGTGTGCCTGCAAGGGAAAATGTGACTGTGAACCTAGCATTAGAGCACTGACCTGAAAGGAGGGAGAGAGGAAGGAAGGAGAGGTTTGAAAAGCATTCATAGTGGATTCTTTGAAGAGTAAGTATAAATACTCTCCTCTGAGGAATACAGAGGTAATGTTGTATATGTGTTTGCTGAAGTACTGTGTAATTACATCATGGGTTTAGCAGTCAGGTTCCAGTCACGTAGATGCTAACAGCTGTATCTTCTCGGATTTAGCATGGATGCACGTCCTGAGAGAAGGATTAGCCTTCTAAATTGTATTGAAGAAGAAATACTTGTGTGCTGATTTGCCGTCACTGATACACACACCGGCTATTTTAACAGGCCTGTTTGAACAAGGCGATTCATTACTGAAGGTCACAGTAGCAGCAGATCTGCCATGGAGCTGGGACTGCACAAGTCATCAGCCTCATGCGAGACGGGGATTTGAATCAAGCTGAGCTCCCTGTTAGACTGGCATACGCAATATGAAGTGGGGAGGTACAGGCGTTGCTAACTCCAGCTGCAGTTCTCATCATTTGGACTGGAATTTTTTCCTACATCTTCCAAAACAGCCTTTTCTCTGAAACGTACAGAAATAAGTTGTCACTACAGTAATTATATTTTTCTTATATCTATTCTGAAGGGGTTTTGGGGCTGCGGGGGGGGGATTGGTGAGAAAATACAATAAATCTGAAACATTGAAATGGTAAATAACTATTTTGAACTATTTACTTCATCTGTGGATCGAGACAAGAAGTCATTTCTTTCCTTTGCAGCAGAAAAGAGTTTTCAGCGTGTGTTCCTAGCCTTCACTAAACTATTGTGTATGAAAAGGAAGCATGTTTTTGCTGCATAGTCCAGATGATTGCAAGGGAAATGGCTTGGTTTATGGCATAATGTTTTTTGTTTAATACCTTTTTTATTCCAACAGGAAATATGGGATGTATAAAATCAAAAAGGAAAGAGAATCTGCATGGAGATGGGCTAGATTTGAAGAATCAACCAGTACGTAAAACTGAACGAACTATTTATGTGAGGGATCCAACGTCCAATAAACAGCAAAGGCCAGTAAGTAGATAGTCTCAGGGGAGAATTCCAGTAGTGAGATCAAAACATGACTGGCATAACTTAAATTTCAATCCAAAGTATGTGCATGAAAAAATTCAAATCGATCGTTAGTCCACAATTGGGCTCTTATTGTTGTGCAGTTCACCCTCAATGAATAAGTACTTAAAGAAATAAAAAATAGAAACTGGTGTTTTGTTGCTTAATTACTTTATGTTCGTCATAGTTTTCCGCATGAAAACAGTAATCCTTGGCAAAGCTTGATCTGGGTATAGCTATGGTTGTAGAAGAATGCTAGATGACTTTAGAAAACCTGAAGTAGTTTAGAACCGTTTTTAAAAGCATCGATGTTGGGTTTTTAATAGCCGTGAGATCCAGATGTTGCTTATTCTATTTAAAAAGGCTGAGGTAATCCCAGGCAATTCTTTACCAGCGCTAGTCAACTTTCCTTTTACTCACTGAAGGCCGCTACTCGACCTTGCACGAGGTGCATAGGTAAGGGTGAGCGGGGAGCGGAGGGTGCCGTGGTGAAGGGAGCTGCGCTGTGCTGCGGAAGGAACCAGCTAACGGCATTGCGTGTGTGCTGCCTGGCATTAGAAAGGAAGGGTGCAGGGAAGGGCAATCCCATCGGATACCATGTGGGTTTGCTATTTTGCGGATTGATGGGTACCTTTTTTCCCCACCCTCTCTACTGCACTGAGGAAACCCTGTGTCTGCCCTTATTCAGGGTCTGTGCTGTCCGTGGGCGTGAGGGACACCCTTCTCTCCTGTCTCAACAGCTGACACGGTGGACTCAGAACATACACATACCACAAATGACCATTTACATTTTTTTAATTACTTTTTTGGTCTTGCAGAATCTTAGCAACCTAATTGTGCTTGTAGTTCTTGAGCACGACAGCTATGTGTTAATAACTGTCCTGTTAAAGTGCCCTGCCTGAAGCCGCTTCAGCAGAAGTCACAAAACCGTGACCTTCCTTCCCACAGCTTGTGTCACACCTTCCCGAGGTCCGAGTTGCTCAACTCAAAACGTAGTGGGGACTTCTTATATTTTTATGTTGTAATTCACTTTTGAAGAATGGTGGGAAAAGATTGGAGCATTTCCTTTTAATTTAAGACATATAAGATGATACCAAAGCAACTGAATAATATGTAATTGTAATGTAAAATTGTCACCAAGATCTTAAACTGCTTAATGAAAGACATATTTTATTGTAGGCAAATCAAGAAGCACAGCTCTTACCAGGACAGAGGTTTGTCAGTGAAGGTATGTTTCCATAGGAATCTTACTGTTGTGTGCTATGCCATGTCAGCCTGCGAAATAATGCGAACGAGCCTTTGGCTTTCTGCCTTTGTAGAAGCAGAGGAGCATGGAGTCATTGTGGTAGCTTTGTATCCCTATGATGGCATTCACGAAGATGACTTGTCCTTCAAAAAAGGAGAAAAATTGAAAGTTATTGAGGAGTAAGTATGGCAGTACTGATTGTATTGCAGTTTTTCTTTGGACTCATCTAATCCCCTTTATGATTTTTTGATATCCTACTCATGACATGAGTGTATTAATGGTAAAAGAGCTCCCTTTTATGTGAAAAGATAAACACATATGGAGCTGTTGGTATGACTTGGCAGCTGCCCTTGGTAACAGCAACCAGACGTTGATCTGGTGGAGCCAATGGCTTCTCGTGGGGGGGAAGATGCTGCTGCTCTCTCCAGCATGGGGAAACCTCTCAGCACAGTAGAACCCAAACAACGCTTTATCATTTTCCTTTCCTGTGAATACTACTGTTGTTTCTGTTCTTCAGGCTGGGAGAATGGTGGCGAGCAAAATCTCTCACGACGAGGAAGGAAGGCTTCATTCCCAGCAACTATGTAGCAAAAGTAAACACCCTGGAAACAGAAGAGTAAGTTCTTCCATGCTCTAAATACTGGCAAACTTCTTCTTCACCCTGGTGGTGTATCCTTTGTGGGTTGGGCAAAAAAAAAAAAAAAAGGGTTCTAACTCTTTGAAATACTTTTCAGATGGTTCTTCAAAGACATCACCCGAAAAGATGCTGAAAGACAACTCCTGGCTCCGGGAAATAGTCCTGGAGCTTTCCTTATCAGGGAAAGTGAAACATTAAAAGGTAGGCTTTGGGATGGGTTACTTTGGAATTGATGGTGGAGTTAAAAACATACAGTCTGTCTTCACAAAAATTGGCATCAAGTGGACTGGGGTGTCCTATTGTGTGAATTTTCTGCCGTTATGTAGGAGTGAGAAGGATGAGAAAATCACCAGGAAAAGAGAGAAGAGAGTTACGGGTTAACACCCACAGCTGAGATAGGAAAAAAAAAAGTGTATGTATGTCTGTGTGGTTACATTGACAAGAAGCAGGAATGAATGAAGTGAGAGATCTTTTCCCTTCCTAACATTTGTGATTCCTTTACTGAAAGACAGTAGATGCTGCATTTTATAGTCTTCCATTATTGGGTCTGTATCCGTTGCTACAAGTTTTAAAATGTAGCTAGTGCAGAATGAGGGGTTGCACTTCTGCACTGTAGTGTGATTTTTTTTTTTTTTTTTTTTTTAAAAAAAAAGCTTTTTGATAAAGATTTCTGCTGTAGACAGAGCTCTTTGTACTGAAAAGCTTAGTGAAGTCTCCAGACTCTTTGGCTGGGACTTTCAGAAGAGCGTAGGAGGTTCTGCCCCAGCGTCTGGACTCTGACAGCAGCCTGACTGGATTCTCCGGTGGAATACTCTTCCTGAGGAAGATGCATGAATCCCTGCAGTGGATCATATGTCTATCCTCTCCACAGGGGTGTTTTTTCTGGCCCTGACACTGCAGATTCTTGAATAGGTACCTCTCTGTAATGGGCCCATATCACTGTTTCTGTGCTCTCAAATGAAGACGGAGATCTAAATTCAACATAGGTTTGCTGGCAGTAAGGCAAAGTACACCCAAAATCTTTCTGTCACTACATCTGTGTGTGGGGAGAGAGACGGGGCTGAGGTGATTTCTTAGCCTTGAAAATGGACAAGAGTTGTATGAGTGGAAGAATTGAAGAGCTCTGTAGCTTAGGGTAGGTGCTCTGCTGCCCCATCTTAAATGCCAGCTGAGGCTTCCTAGGAGTACCAGGTCTGCCCTCCCTCCTGTGTGCCCCAAGCCATCTCCAAGCTATCCTTCTGCTGGTTGGCCCATGACATCCAGTGTGTTCCTTTTCCAAAACACTTATCTCCAAATTCCAGCTTCTGCTTGCGTAGTGGGACAGCCCTGGCCTTGCTTTCTCAGCCAGGTCCGCTCAAGACGGAGGCACTTTCTGCAGAAGTGGGCGTTGGACATGGAGTTGTCTGGCTTCTGGAACTCCTAACTTTGTTGAATAAGATTGAAAAAGAAAGTGTGACTGTAAGCATTTTGATGACCAGTTCAGGACCAGCTGTTGGCTAACTTCCTCATGTTGATTGCAAAATGCATTTTGAGAAAATAAGGGCGTAAAGAGAAAAACAGACAAAAAGGTGATTTTGTTAGGCTTAACTCTGTGTGTGTGGACCCTGTAGACTTGCTATCTGTTGATGATCATTCTTTCTTTATCCACAGGCAGCTATTCTCTCTCCATAAGAGACTATGACCCACAGCATGGCGATGTCATTAAGCACTACAAAATTAGAAGTCTAGACAATGGAGGATTTTACATCTCTCCAAGAATAACTTTTCCCACTATCAATGATATGATCAAACATTATCAAAGTAAGTTAAATCGGTTAGTGAATTACTTAATAGAATACAGCTGTTATTTCCTGTGAAGGAAAATAAAAGCTTTCTTGTTTTGTTTCAAACCTTTTCATCTTTTTTTTTCTTCTTTTTTTTTTTTTTTCCCTAAATAACCCAGGCATGCATGTTATCAAAGATAAAATAAAACTGGTCGGAACCCAAGTAACGTTGTTATCATAATCAGACCTAATGCTGCTTGCTCTGTGGCATACTATTGTGAAATAAAGAATAGCTTAATAAAACACCTCATCAAAGTTATGACGATTTGAAGCTATAGTAAGAATTGCCTGCATTGTAAATAAATTAAGTCTATATTTGAGAGTAAATTTGTATTCACAACTAGCAGAAATACTTACAGACTTGTGAGTGTCTTCTGGTATCTGGTGTTAAGTGTGGAAATGTTTTTATTTTTCCTATAAATTTATTTATGTATTGTTAATGGTGTTTTGAAGGAAGCAAAATTCCATTGACTTCAAAGAAAGAAAATTGCACCCACACAGAGTGTATACATATATTATTAAAAAAAAAAAAAGAAAAAAAAGGAAAAAAAAGAAAAAAAGAAAAAAGAAAAAAAGAAAAAAAAAAGAAAAAAAAAAGAGGAGGGGAGGAACAAGCTTCTACCTATGTTTTAGCTACAAAAGTGACTTTTCATTCTGTATACCCTCCTGGTGAATGGCTCCAAAATGTGAAGTTTTTTAGTCTTGTAACTGGGAAGACAGAGAAGATGGAATATGTAGGACAGAAAATCACACAGTGATTTTTCAAATCCATGCTGAGGACTTGGCCATGGCATTTCTCTGAGTTGTTAGACATGTGTGGTAGTTCTTTGGCACAGCTGAAAAACCTGAGAATTATTCAACATTTGTATTAAAGTTATAGCTGGTCAGTGTCTGGAGAAAAAATAATGATGACCTACTTATGCTTGCATGCACATGTGTCTGAACCACGCTGCAAGAAAATGTAATGACAAATTCAGAATACAGTTCCCAAGCCTGACTACAGTGTGTATCTTCATCAACATACTGTCAGTAATTAGGTCTTATATTATATTTATTTGGTACAAATTGTACTAAAATCCCTTAATAATCTGATGGTAACCAGATGCATGTGACACTTCTTTATTAGATTTGTTTACAAAATTTCAGTTCAGAGGTGCTTAAAGTTACGTGAAAGCACCAGAAAGGTTACATTTTCATCAATGCATCTGATTATTTTGAACATTATTTTGAGCTACTTAGTGCACACCTGCAATGAAGTAATGTTTGTCTCGAGTCATGAAGCACAGAAGTGTAACGGATTTTGTATTTTGTTTTTCCTTTGCAAACCAGAGCAATCGGATGGCTTATGCAGAAAGCTGGAAAAAGCTTGTATTAGTCCCAAGCCTCAAAAACCATGGGATAAAGATGCATGGGAAATTCCACGGGAATCGATTAAATTAGTGAAGAAACTTGGAGCTGGTCAGTTTGGAGAAGTCTGGATGGGTAAGTTTATTCCTTTGCAACGAGTATTTAAGTCTGCTGAAAGTAGTGTCATTTCAGAGTCATTCAGAAAAATAGTGGGCATGAACCTGGTCCGATATACTTGTAAAACAGCTCAATCAGGCCCAGAATATACCTTCTCATGAAGAGAGAGTGTTTGTGAGGGGGAAGATACCTGACAGAGATTTGGAACAAATCCTTTCGTGTCTTTTAAAGGAAAAAAATAGTGAGTAAGCACTGTAATTTAGAAGGTCAAAGGCAATAGGGGGTTTTTTGGTTCTGTTTGAGGGGGAAGTAGAAGGTTGTAGTAAGATGTCACTCTCAATTCTCAAGATCAATGAGCCTCTCAGAACTTTATTTCAAATCAGGAAGTGGTAAAGAACATGAAATAAAAAGAAATCGGGTCTTTTAGTGAATTATGCATAGAGTTTTCATTGTCTGTTGGTAAAGAAGACGCTGTGATGTAATGCATGGGAATGCCGCATTGGGTGAAAAAAGGGGACACTTAATCCAAGATTATTGTCTGCCAGCTTGTTGCTCAGAAAGTAGGTAACTTATGTAGTAAGAAGATTAGAAATTGATCACCCCCTACCTTGAATTATCATGCAAGTCCCCAATGATGAAAGTGTCATAAGACTTACAAGTTGTAAACATTAATACATAACCTGTCAAAAAATTATAGCGTTAATTATTATAACCATAATTAGATTTGATTGCTTATAAATTCTATTTTCTCAGCCTCAGTGACTTCCTCTGGCAAGGGCCTATGAGCAGTATCTGATCACATTCTGTAAAAATGATGTAATCCTCTTGCTTTTTAAATCCTGCTTATTCAGGCATCTGAGTGTTCTTTTGGGTTCTGTAGTGCATGTTCTGTGTACTGCTATTCATACTTACACACTTGGTACCAGTTACCGTCTTATTTTGAGGTAAGCTATACCTTCTTCCCAAAGTCTTCATTAGGATGTTTTTTCAGGCCAAATCATTCTCTTAGCCCATCCCTGAATCTCCTTTTTGGACAATATATTTAAATAGTAATAAAATTGTTACAGTTATCATAATAATTGATGATTATGATGATTATTATTATTATTATTAAGCAAGATTCTATAGGCAGGGCATTTCTGAGCAATGTAAATATGTATCCCAAAGCTTCCTAGAAGACACAAAGCTATGAAGGGGTCTCAGATGGCCCACAGGAGTGCAGCAGTCTGACAGGAATGTCGTTGCTTTGAAGAGATGCTCTCATTTAGAAAAGTAAAGCAGAGTGGTGCTGTTTGAGTGGCAAATTCCACGCACAACTACAGTGTCAGTCAGAAAGCTCTAACTCGATCTTTTGATATAAATCATGTAAAAAATGCAAGCAACACCTCTATAATATAATGTGGCCAAATTCAGCCTTTTATCTGCCTTCATGAGAAAAGGCTTAAGAAACCCTCTAGCTATGATATAGGTGAGTGACAATTTACATACCAGTTAAGACAAGTGTCTGCCCTTGTGCAGGTTTTTTTCTGTCTAACAAACCAGGGCAAGAAATGTTTAACTGACACTGAAATGCTCTGAAAGACTTTGTCGCAGAAGGTAATCACCTGCTTGAAATTGTAGATCATTTTGGGAAGTGACTACTTCTGCACACACACACACACACAAAGGCATAAAACTTTAAAAGGGTGTTTCTGGTTCAAGATGTTTCCTCTTGTTTGTGTCATTATTTTAACATCTAAATTGGGCCTAACCCCTGCATCTGAATTGCTGCACTGTGAGAAAAATTAATGTACTGTGAAAACGATTGCTGTGTTTCCTCTTCTCTGCTTTCTTTCTGAAGCGAGAGAAGCTGATTTGCATGGCGCAGCTCCTCTCGCATCAGGAGCGCAGTTAATCTTAAAACCAGGGAAGTTCAAGCTGGAAAAGACGTATAAGGTCAGCTGTGCAGTGCAGGGTATCAACAAATACTGTGTATCATAACGATGACCAACCAGGGGCGTCAGGAGTTATGTAGAGGTACTGAGAAATAACCTAGCTGTTACGCTCTCCTGATTAGAGAGCTCGTTGTTACGTCTCTCCTCATACAGAACAAAATTATTTTTAAGCCATGGTGTGAATTAAAGAGAAATATTATTCCGTGGTTTAATTACTAAATAAGTAATTACTTACTAATTACTAATTACTAATATCTTCTTGATAAAGGGTACCTAGAATTGTGGTTTCAGAGGGAACAGTGACCTGTTCAGAGGAACTGGGCTCCCAAGTAAAGAGAGATCCAGAGCTACTGGAGAGAGTCCAGTGAAGGGCCGCAAAGATGATTCGGGGACTGGAGCATCTCTCTTGTGAGGGAAGGCTGAGAGAGCTGGGACTGTTCAGCCTGGAGGAGAGAAGGCTCAGGGGGATCCCATCACTATGTACAAATATTGAAGGGAAGGTGCAAATAAGACAGAGCCAGACTCTCTCAAAACCAGAGGCAATGGGCACAAACTGAAACACAGGAGGTTTCCTCTGAACATCAGGAAACGCTTTTTCACCATGAAAGTGACTGAGCACTGGCACAGGTTGCCCAGGGAGGTTGTGGAGTCTCCATCCTTGGAGATATTAAAAAAACAACTGGACACAGTGCTGGACAACCGGCTCTAGGTGATGGCCCTGCTTGATCAGGAGGGTTGGACCAGATGCCCTCCAGAGGTCTCTTCCAACCTCAGTCTTCTGTGATTCTGTGATATATGGGAAGATAGAGATAATACTGTTAACTGCAATGTGAAGATATGCCATTGTTCTTTTATAGTCTTCTTTTTAGTTCATCCATAAGTACTCTTTTGGCTTCCAGGTTGACTTCTTCCTCTTGCACAATTTGGAGGAAGTTAGCCTATGTTATGGGAGGACTAAGAAAAGCCTAGGAGCAAAAAGCAGACCCCCATATGCCCCAAGCACTTGGCTGTGCTACTTCTGAATGAACCTGTGCAGAGAATCTTTGTCACTAATAAAGTGGGCAGGTGAATCTCTGAAACTCTGAAGAGTCTCTTTTACTCAGAGAAAACTTGCTATAAAGGACCATTGATTTCCCAGTTTTGTCTATCACTGCAAGTGCATTTAATTTCTTGCTTCTGTACAGCTATGTGTAATTTAATACATTTTGTAAAGACACTCTGTTTTTAGGCTACCAGGTTGGTGTTTATGTGTGTGTTTGGGCCATTAGCTGTGCTGACATGATAGATGAAAACAGCGTGGCAGAGTTGTGTTCACAGTTTATGCACTGCACGATGGAAGCAGTTAGAAAGCTGCAGCCTGTGCTTTCTGCCCTCACACTTAATGGGCTGTATGGAGATGAGCTAGAGATGGAGCTACTGTTGCATTGCTCTGCTCTTCAGCTGACCGATGCCTGTAGTTGAAGGAGGAGTGATGTGCTGACATGCACTAGGATGTGGAGAAGCTGCTGCTGTTCCTCAGTCTCTTCCTCAGCGAGCTTCTCAGAAATACTGTACCTCCTGCAATCGTAACAGCCTGAGACATTATCTGACTTCTAACAGTGTCATACCTCCGTAGCTCAAACACGTTGTTGGCAGTATACCCTTACAGGGAATTACTGTGAAGGCAGAGGAAGGAGAAAGCTACATCTTGTAGGCTTGTTCACAAAGTTGTTCGTCTTTAGTCCTGGACATCTGATAGGCTTGACCTCATTACTATCTGTTATAAGTTCATATCATAGCTTGGCCTGATTAAGCTCATGCAAGAATTTGGTGGCAACCTGGCTGTCCAAGATACTACTCTGTCAAAATAGTCATAATCAACTCCAAAATAAAGACATGAAACATTAAAAAATTTTGGAGGATTCTACTCTAACAGATAGAGAAGAACATGGCCTTCCCTCGTGGCATTCCTCAGACTTGCGTACTATTGCTTGCATCACATTTAATTTTTACAAAAGCCTAAACTGCAGGGAGACTTGCTTCCTGCCATGGTATGAAAGGGTTTTTTGACCATGGAGTTCAGTGCATCTGGGCACCTTCTTTAGTGATGTGATGAACCAGAGTAGCGCCGCAAGAGCAGGGTCTATGTTTTATGTATCTTTGTTCCTAGTGTGCCCTGATATGATGTGAACCATAATGTTCTGTGGTATTAATAATCCATGAAGAGAATTCTCAAGCAAGGCAAAGAGACAACTTTACAAGCCAAATGGAACCATTATGGTGTATTTTATTGATGAGGCACGTTTTGCTTGCATCTCAGGTGTAAAAGATTCTCTCATTCAGTAACCCCCAAATTAGAATGTAAGTAATACGCATTCTGGAGGTGTATTTTCTTATGCAGCTGTTAGAAAAATCAGTGTGCAGAAATGCTGTTATTGAAATAAAAGACATTTAAAATGAACCAAAAAAACTTGCTGGTACATCTCATCAGTATCAGAAATGGATTTTTACAGTACATACATAAGCTGAATGTTAGTTGCAAACAATCTGAATTGTGTGTCAGATATTCTAGATGTAAGCAAGAATTTCATTGCTTATCTATCTTTTTGAATTCATGTTTAGGTAGCCAACTGACCATATGGTCATTCATATCATACGGCAAGGAATACCGTGACACAGCAAGTGCTGGGTTTACACCCGGAGCCAGGTTCAGTGCAGCCAAGGCAGACGTTAGCGAAGGGTTCAGAGCCCCAGGTACCGTACGAAGCAGGGGCGATGCAGTGCTGTAACCACCCCTTCCGACAGCTCCCTGTGCGTCACTGAAATCCTTCAGTGATGCAGACTGAACATTAAATTTGGTATCATTCACTGAAACACTTTGAGGTCACCAGTTTTCCCTCTGCCTGCACAAAGGCTGCAGTTTCTTACCTGTACAGCGAGAGTGCACCTGCAAAGCAGAAAATCTGTATGGAAACTACCACAGAGGTTCTCACGGTAATGATAAGTGACCTGACATGAGGACTAGGACTTTTTTAAGACAGGGTGGTACAGATGCATACTAAAAAGGTGCTGCCTGCTGCAGGCCTGTCTAGCCTCATATCCTAATATAATCTTCCCCTTCAGGGGTGCCGTGTTCTTACTCTGCTACTTCTGACTCAGAGATGATGGGAGCTTTCTCCCAGATGGCGAGGTGGCATCTGCTTAGCTGAGTGGTACAGACTCATGTTCTGTGAGGGTTCAGTTCTGCTGTGGTCCTCAGCCCAAATCAAGCTAACAGTGGTTTTGCTTGTAATGGGTGAGGGCAAGAGGTGAGAATTCCAGTTTTGCCAAACTGTCAAGGGTCTATTTTTTACAGATGCCATTGTGTGGGCTCATAGAATTCACGACAACATTTCCTCAGTGTTTTGGTGTCCTATCCCTCCCAATACCTGACGGAATAAATGAACTTGAAAGAGATCAGGATCAAATGCCCCTACTGATCTCATCAGCTAATTTGTTTTGTGTGTTACCGCCGGAGGTTTTTCCGGCAGAACACCTCAGCACCGCTCAGGTGTTGTTGCCATGTAGACTTTCTGTAACTAGAACCCGAGATTGATGGATCTCTTTAGTGAATGTAAAATACTGTTATATAGTTAATGTTAAGTGTGTTGGTCACAATTGCTTCACAGAAATAGTGATATTAATTAACATGTTTATTATTAATTAGTATGTTCATTAGAATATTCAACAAATTGGGAGTGGTACTAGTGCTCTGCTTTATGTTATGTGATGGAATAGTAGAAATGACACAAATAAGCTTTCTTCCTCTTAAGCAGAAAGAGATGTATTTAACGTCTGGTTTTCTGATGGATATACCTTTTATACCTAAGCTTTAACAGCAGAATTTGACTTCTAGTTGTAATTTGTTATTATTTGATCATCCAGAGGCATATCATTGTTATGCTTTAACCTGACCATGGTTGGAAAAATATATTTAATAATCATGGAGGTGAATAATTTGAGATAGTGGCTTTTCTACAGTGATGATCCTTCTTTACGAAAGGTGATGGAAGATGCAGTAGTTAGAGTAATCGCTTAAGACCTGGAAATTAGTTCCTTGCTTTGCCACTGATTTCTTATGTTAAGATGATAAATAGTATAAGGAAATTGTGGGCTCGGTTATCCATTGTGGTAATACTGTCTGGATTGTTGCTGAATAAGGAAATGAGGCTATTTCATTGAGTCATGAAAGTTTTACGTCTTCTGAGAAATATTTTCGCAATGTTGAAATGGATATGGTGGGGAACAAAAGGCTGGGGTTTGAAATTACTGAAGCATTCTGTAAAGCTGAAATGTTGGGAAGAAGTTGTATTTATATCGCCCCCCTTCATCACCACCGCCCCACCCCCCGCCTTCTTTTCTTTGTCAAATTAAATGACTTCACAAGATAAACTTTAGGATCAGTGCTTGCTACTCGCTTGGTTTTTTTAATGGCATTTTAACATTTATTTAATGTTTGGAAAACATTAAAGCAGAAAATAATTCACTGCTTTTCTTTTTATTGATAGTTGCTTTTTATATAATTAGACTATTACATTAGAAGTTTTGATAAACAGAAATGAAACAGCCACAGTCTATTCCACTCTTGGCATGGGTTACATGATAAGAAGTTATCACGTTGTGAATCTTGCTCTGAACGCTGCAGCACTGCTATCCTGGCAGCGTATCTTTGTTGGTCCTGAGAACACTCATCCGATTGCACTTACCCGTAATGCTCCAGTTTGAGTACCGAGGGTAACAGAAAGGATTACAAGCATGAGACTGTCATGCATAAAATGGTTATAATCATGGTATTTAAAGATGCTGCAGAATCTTGCAAGCAATCCGTGGATATTAGATTCTGAGACAATTCATGTGGACATTCAGTAAAACATGTCTTGACTGAATATTTTATGGGCTACTTGTAAATGAAAACGTGGTATGAAGCAAGATAATTTGCTTTCTTTATCTGTTTTTTTTCAGATAACCAATTTCAAAACATAGGGAATGGATTATTTTTCACTGCAATGTTGTATCAATTGCAAAATAAAAAGGAATTCTAGTGCAAATATTTGTGCTACATCTGGCACTTGCTCTCAGGGTCTTAGCTATTACCGGAATCCAACCTCACGTGCTTTACAAATTCCTACTAGTCGGGGCGCTGTGCGGCACAGGGTGACTTCAAGTGCACTGATTGTATTCCCTCCTTTTAGGTTACTATCATAATAGTACGAAAGTGGCTGTGAAGACTCTGAAGCCGGGAACCATGTCTGTGCAAGCCTTCCTGGAGGAAGCCAACCTCATGAAAACACTTCAGCATGATAAGCTCGTTAGGCTTTATGCTGTAGTGACCAAAGAAGAACCCATATATATTATAACAGAATTCATGGCTAAAGGTGAGAATGACATTGGATCTGCAAGCGATGTTTTAGTAAACTCTTCTACTGCTCCTAAATCAGTCACCTTTATTTAAAAAGGGAGGAATAAAAAGTAAGAACTTGGGATTTTAGTGTTATTCATTTGAATGCTCTGATATAAAGTGAAGGAGGACTGAGGATTTAATTTTATGATTTGTTTGTGCTTTTGTGTAATAAACTATTTTTACACATTTCTTAAATGTAGCATTTTTGTTTCAAATGCAGAACATAACCCCCAAAATAGCTCTGGTTCCCTTGGGTTCCCTACCTAACTTTTGTGTCTGGTGTCATAGCAAGGTAATTAAAACAAACCTTAAAAATTGTCTTAAGTGGCCCCTGAATTGATAAGTACTTGTGTAATAAGGTGAGTCATGAGTGGTCCTGCAAGAATGGCTGCACTACTGGAAAAAGACAATCTTTATTAGAGCATCACTACACAAAATAAGTGAGGTTTCCCTCTCAGATTGTCCTGGCTGGTAGTTTTTCTTAGTTCTGTTTTCAAGCAATTCTGCTGGTAACTTCATAAAAAAGTGTTGAGCCACTTATCTTTATGACTTGGAAAGGATTAATATGTATGATTCTCCTAGACAGCTCTCGTGATAGTCCATAGAGTAAGGTACTTTTCAAACTCAACACCACTGAACTAAGGTATGGTCTGATGGGAGTTTTCTACACCCAGGAAAAATGCAAAGCTTGGATACGCGACATATTGATCATGTAAAGAGACCAGCTTACAGTAGTCAACTTGAAAATATATCAAAACACTTCACTGCAAAAATTTTGTGATCCAGAAAATTGGGGACCTGGTGTGACCTTTATTTTGGTAATAAGTTGCACTGACTTAATCTTTCTCTGTTGTCGCAGGAAGCTTGCTCGATTTTCTGAAGAGTGATGAGGGAAGTAAATTGTTGCTTCCAAAGCTAATTGACTTCTCTGCTCAGGTAAATGTTAAGAAATATGCTCAAAATTATTTCTGTCTGAGTCTGAAACTCATGCTGGGCAACTTTATCCTAAATACTTTTTTTGCATTAAAAATTAATTCAATTTTCAGATATGTTTTGGTCTGAGTAAAGAAGGTTACTCGAAAGGAGGGAGTACATAAAAGATGTTTCAAAGGGAATATGTGAAGTTAGGCTTAGCTCTTAGATACTGCTGGTGACCTCTTAGACGGCAGTGGTACCCTGCTCTTAGATGGCAGTGGGATGCAGCCACTTTCCTTCATGGAAAGGCTGTTTTCACTTCAAGCAGCTGTGCGTTAAAAGTGTAAGTAAAAGTGTGTGAGTTTGTGCTTATGAGATTCCTTCAATGTTAATAAATGCCTCATTTTTACTTCTTAAGTTAGGGCCATTTGTCAAACTTCTTTGTTAACCTCTACAGACTATTGCCTGTTAGAAATTCTTATGTAAATTACAGTGAAATAAATGAAATCCAATCCAATGATGTTTCAGGTACTAGTATCTGATTGATGAACTGTGATGACTGTTTCAAAAGTATTGTACAAAGTTATCCTATGTCATAAATGAAAGGTGTAGAGAGAGACCCCAGGGTGATTGGTGTGTTAAAAAAGGTGCCTGGATCAAAGGTGCCTGGATCAAAGGTGCCTGGAGCCCACTGTTCCGCCTCAGATAGTTTTCAGCATTAGACATCCAGGGAGGCATATAAGAAAATAGGGTAAGAAAATAAGGTAAGCTTTTGCAAGTTGCAGTTCATGTTACTGATAGGTAATGAAGGCATTTCTGGTAGGTTATTGTTTCACTGACCTTTTTGGGTTTTTATTATGCATTAGAGTTTACGACTGTTGTACCCTATTACAATAACTTGTTACAATTCATGAAGAAAGACGAGAAAACTTCCAAAAGACATAATAAAACATTAGGGATTTGTACCAAAAATTCACTATAAGAATATTATATAACTGTTTTATATAACAATTGCTATATAAATAAATATAAAATTAGATATTAGGAAGCATTTCTTTACCAAGAGGGTGGTCAAACGCTGGAACAGGCTTCCTAGGGAGGTGGGTGATGCCCCAAGCCTGTCAGTGTTTAAAAGGTATTTGGACAATGCCCTTAACAACATGCTTTAACTCTTGGTTAAAGTGGCCTGAAGTGGTCAAGCAGTTGGACTAGGTGATTGTTGGAGGTCGTTTCCAACTGCAACTCTTCTATGTTATATTAGATATCACGTATTTTTATACAGATGTCCAATATATCAAACATAGATTTTTATTTAACATAGATTCAGTGCAGGAGCTGGTTTTGCTATAATTGGTGGCCCAGTGTAGCTATAGGCTTTCTAACTTTTCTGAACTCTTTGGATAACTTGTCCTTGAGAATTTAGTGGGGCAAAAGCTTTGTAGATGTGGAAAACCCGCTGGATCCCAGGTCACGGTCTGGAGAGATGAATAACAGTGGGCAGAAAAGAAAATGTAGCTTTGAAAATAGCGTGTAAAGTTCAAGGGAGAGAAGAACATTTGTGAGCAGTGATGTGAAAGGAGACGCAAGATGTGGAGAGGAAAGCACATGTGGTTTTATAGCACACCTTTTTACTGGAGCTAGGGACGTTGCTTTCATTTTAAATGAATACTGTGTTTTCAGAAATTTAAGGCTTAAGAAGCTTTATGAACTAGAAAGCACCTCTGTGTACAACTTGGGTAAATAACTTCCAAGATGACAGGGGTCAGACATTATCATTCACAAAGCTTTGAAGGTCGAGTCACTTGAAATGGACTTCACTTGTCACCCCAATCTGACAGCAATCTCTCGGAGCCGGTTCCTGCACTTGGCCGCGGAGGCCAGGACCCTGTGCAGCACAGGTGTTAGGAGAAGGTCCTCTCTTCACCTAAGGTGTAGGCTATTGACAGAAATTCCTGAGATCGAGCCACGCATTGGGTTGCAGAGTGATCATAAAGGTATGTTCAGGAGGCCTCTTTTAGGATTCCCAGCTGCAGCCCAAACAAAACTTTGGAACAGAGATACCAGGATTTTTCACATGGAAAGAATTTGTAAGTTTTTTGAGCACATTTGTAAAGAGCCCTTGCTGCCACAGGACTGCGCAGCATAGACTTGCAGGCTGCATGTGGTTCTCAGACTAGAGATTTCCCTCTGACCAACACAGATGTTCCACTGGTCTTCTCTAACTCTGACGGTCTGAATGTTAATTGATGGGTCTTTAGGACAAAAGATAGACAAAAATATTTTCAAACTCTGTTGACCTACTGTTAAGGTAATGGTAATTTTATTGCAGACCTGTGGGTCATACTTTTCCAGAATGTAGGCTGTATATAAAGGAGAACATAAAATGTGTCTAGTATTTTTGGTATGAGTCTGGTTTGTATAAATGGAACACTAACTTATTCTTACAGTAGTGATGTTAACCTTTTTGTACAGCCTAAGGAGAAAGAAATTTGGAGAGCTGTGTTTCAGAAGAGGTTTAAAAAAAAAAAAAGTGAGGAAGGAAGCTCATGGTGAACTACTTAAATAAGATCAGGCATATTTTTTTGCTTTGATGGACATACACTTGAGCTCTTCATGACTGTCTAATCACACCATTCTAGCAAGGCAGTTTACCAGACTATCCCAGCTTCTCAGAAAGACTGAAAATGCAACAAATGGTAGCTGAGGGTTGGCATATTTTTTTCCCTCATGCATCTACGATGTTGCACGGGGCTGGCCTGCTCCCAGCTGTGCTACACAGCTGTCTGGCTCGCATCCACACGTGTGCACATAAGGCATCTTTTGCAACAAAAATTGCTGGAAGAACCAAACTCATTGCAGGAGGGTATGCTAGCAATGGACTTGTGATACAGCATGAAGAAAACAGGCAAGAAGAGATTTCACTTAGTATGTTGCCTTCTTATCCAGAGGAATTGCCTTTGCCCCCTTACAATGACCTTGTCAGATAAGGAGGGACTGGGAATTGGAGAATGGGAGAGGAGGATGTAGTCTGTGACTATCAAATAGCTGAAGAATGTAGTGCAGGTGGTTGAACGTGAACCACCAGCGGAAGCCAATTTTCCAAGCGGTGCTGAAGAGCGCTGTGGGTTTGTGTTTGCATTGCCAGACTGCTGTTAGTGCTCCACGCACTGACTTCGTAACACCTTTGCTTTGAACAGTCTTGAAAGAAATGTACGTTTACAAGGGCTCAGACTGCTCCCCCAGGTGAAATGAACACCTTTTAAAAAGATAGCATTTTTCAAGCAAGTAATCAAATATAGTCCTACTCTGCTATACTGATATTGCTGGTTTGTTAGCTTAACATCCACACTCACTGCCATTTTTGGCAACGACAGCGGAGTGCTGGGGACAGACATTTTAATAGGGCCTGTAGTGATAGGACAAGGAGTAATGGTTTTAAACTTTTTACTTTAAAAAGGGTGTACTCAAACTAGATATAAGGAAAAAATGTTTTATGATGAGGGTGGTGAGGCACTGGAACAGGTTGCCCAGAGAAGTTGTAGATGCCCCATCCCTGGAAACATTCAAGGACAGGTTGGATGGGGCTCTGAACAACCTGATGTGGTTGAAGATATTCCTGCTCGTTGCAGGGGGGTTGGACTAGATGACCTTTAAAGGTCCCTTCCAACGCAAACCATTCTATGATTCTGTGATTCTGCTTAGTTACACTTACATCTAGTGACTACTTTAGCATACAGCTGTAGATTCAGAATTTTATGGGCTTTTTTGCTGTACTAACAATCACAATATATGAAATCAGGCTTCTGGAAAACGTGGCAAGAAAATGCTTGCTAGGAAGGTGGTTCAGCTCAGTTTCTAAAGCAATCTGCCCTCTGAAAAAGCTGAAGTTTCTCTTTTGTGATGCAATTAGTGTATAGTATGGGCTGGGGAAATCTAGTGTTAACTGTGCCCTGGTAAAGATGATTTTGGCCACTAGAGATGTATGCTAGAAGTCTCTGAAAGGAGTGTGTTTTAAAGGAAGCTTAGTTTTGCAAACGTATCTTCAAGCACGTACTACCTGCTTTAGTACAGAACAGAGCTGTGGCATCTCCCGTAGAAGTCAGCAGAATTGCTAGTACGTCAGACACACCAGAAACAGCCAGGAAAGCAAAAGATGAGCCTGCTTCTCTGCCTGCGTGACCGCTGCTGGTGCGTTCGGCTGGTCTCGCAGCTGCCACACGTCTGGCAGGCGTTAGCTGACATGGTTGACAAGCGGTTCCCCTTCCTGGCCCCCCTGCCCGTCAGCTCAGCCAGCGGGCTCGGGGAACCCAAAGGTGCTGGTGGTTCCCAGTTAGGAGTTGGAGGGTAAGGCAAATTTTGTTGCTTTGTCCATGAGCTGCACTGCCAAGTCTTGCCAATGCAGCAGGCCAAGACAGTCCGCGTGGACGTTGCCCATATTTCCCTCGGTCATCTACAGGCGACAGCCTCGCTCCTTCAGCAGTAAAGCGACTGCAAACTCTGGATTTTACCAGTTGTTTTTTGTCTTGCCTCAGAGGCACTTTATCCAAAGAGCTCCCGATTCTTTGTTTCACAGTTCTTGAAATCATACCTGCTTTTGTTTGATGGGAGCTGCTGAAAACGTACGACGCAAATTCAGTGAACCTTTTGCGTGTGTAAACTCTTCCTGCTTCTTATGCAAATCCTTATCTACCATGTAGCACACATACGCATGGTGGCTGTGGTTAGGAAAATGATATCAGTTGTTACCGAACATACGTCATACCTTTTCAAACTGGTCAAAGCTTTGTCACAAAAGCAGTCTGTCCTCTTTCCCGTGCAACGCCAATACTTTCATTAATTGTTCTATGTTCTACAACTTCATTGGCAACTCTTATCCTCTTCTTTCTGCCTTCTAAGGCGACAAATTAAAATTATAATAGACTTAGAATAAAATTAATAGAGATTTTTGATGCAGTCCTTTAATCCTTCCCTCTTCCCTCTGTTTTAAGGGAAAGTCCTAAATCAGAATTAATATTAAATTT